AAACCTTCCCCATACTTCTTTTAATTGTTTCAGGTTTTAGTAAAACCACTTGATGAACATTTATGCCATGTGATTCAATTAATTTTGAAAACATTATCGTGCTGCCAAAATTCGGAACTATGAAACAATAAAGTAAGAAATATATTTTCTAATCGAGATTGGTATTTAAATGGAATACAGGGAATGGAACTGTACACTGCCCCAAGCTTGTGGATACCACCGTGGGAACCCTTGGGTTCCCAGTCTCATAGTCATCGTAATATATAAATAACGGTAATACAATATCTTTGACCTGAAATTTTTTAATTTTAGATTTCCAAAACTGTGTTTGCATAATGTTTGACGTGTCTACATTTGATTCTTCTTTTAATTCTTCTATGTAACTTAGTATCTCACAGAATACGCCAGGTAACTCAATGAATTTTTTTAATACTTTACTCAATGGTATGAACTGATAAGAATAATTTTGAGGTAAACCTGCACCATCTTTAATTTTGTCTAAACTTTGCCCAACAAGATACTCTTCTGGAGGTATATAATTTTTTGATTTCTGGAGACATTTTAATCGAAGGTATTCACTTTCTAGCCCCTCAAACATATTTTGAAGCTGATAAATAAAGCCAGTAGTGGTCTCTTGGTCATTATAAGCAATATTGTATTTATTTGTCAAAGACACCAAATACTTTTTAAACAGATCAAGTGGTTCTGAAAAGAGATTACCAATAGAATCTATGACACTGAACATTTTTACGATTTAATGTGCTATCGCTATAAAATTTATAGATAAGGGACGAAACATTTTGATTTGATGTTTCTGTAAATAAGTTAGGTAAAGTTTGTAATGCATTCGGATCACTATTTGATATTAAATCACTATTAACGTGAGGATGAATTGTGGTGTGTGTTTGAACATCATTCAAATTACATATTTCCGATTCCCTTCCAATACATGGTTCTGTTTCATGTGCGGTTTGTACAAAATACTGGTTTTTTTTGTATTTTTTGGTGTAGATTGTGTCAAATGTTCTTTTAAATGTTTTTGAAATGAATTAAGGGAGAGGAAGTTTCTTAAACAGTTTAACTCGGCACAATAATATTTATCATCTTTGTTTAAATTATAGGCGGTTTTGAAATGGCTACTGAGAATTTTACAACTTCTATATGAGATATGGCACATAAAACAAGTAGGCATATTTGTTTAAATATTATACTTTATCGTGATTGGTTATGTCAGCTATGACACAAGAGGTACTGCTATGCTTACTTGTTGTTACAGTTTTGAAAACCACTTCCTGTACAAATAACCATACATGCTTGGATTCCACGGGATACTCTAGGTTTAATGCATGTATTGTTTTATAAAGCAATTCTAAGGTTCTAATTGCCGATTTGACCAAATACCTCATACCATTTAAGTACACATAGACTTCAGAATCCTTATTTCCTACGACCGCACCAAAAGGTTGAAGCGGAAATTCATATTCGGTTAACTTCTGTTTCCGTTTCTCGATCAGTTGGTCCAAGTCACCAATATCCTATAATAAAATTATATTTATAATTCAAATATGAATAAATATAGGTGACTTACATTAACGTTTATGAAAAAGCTCTCTTGAATTTCACTTCTCGTTGGTCTCCAGCAGCTATGTTCACTGAAAGAAATAATATTACCAGAATTTCGGTAATTTTGTATTCTGCTATAGATGCAAAATTTTCTTTATCTTTACAAAAACAAATTGTGTTGGTTGTATACCAAGAAGTATTGAACGCACCCCCATTACGGTAAAATACATTTAGTTGTTATTACCGAATGGTATGAATTTATTATCACACGATTAATTATTATTACAAAGGTATTAAGTTATAATTTGATACTGCATTCATAACATTAAGTTTGCTACTCCCACATAATCAAAGTGTTGATGGAAGCAAAAGTACTGCTGCACAGAAAAAATAAAGCATTCGTTTACTATTACAAACAAAGTGAGTACTGTACAATTTTTACTGTATTTTTCCTACGTGTGATTTGTTATAAGCATTAGCGTCAGTGTAATAATATCCAACTTTTTGTTAAGGATGTTGAATTTCCATTGTTCGCCCTTCGCAGTTCGTGCAGTAGGTACTGTAGTTTCTGGCGTTCTTATGCTTACCAGCCATTAGTTACTGCGATTTGCGAACGTTTCTGAAGTGTGGCCATAACAGTTATTTTTAGTGTTTTTGAAAGTTAGTGCGATATCGGAAATGGCAGATGAAGATGTGGTGGCGTATTTGCATACGTGCACTGATAAAAATTGTACGCGATTGGAGTCGTCATTACCTTACAATAACGCCCTACGACTACTTAAAAACCGGCCATCATTCATCTCGCACCTCTTGGTACGGTGATATACACCTATTCTCGGGCGGTCTAAAATCCATAAACGACATAAAGTGCAATTAGTGAGTCGTTTTACGCCTTACCTTCACAACAATTTAAACCATGAAAACCGTTTTTTTGTCGCAGATAGCTCAGACTGCGTTTTCCTGGTACTGTGTGTTCAGCGGTTGTTTTCCTAACTTTCGACTTCTGTACTGTTCATCTCACCTTACTTATTGTTATATTCAATTTTTCCGGAATGCTACATGACCTGATTCTGAACGCTCTATTCGTCGTACCATACAGTGAATAGAACCTTTCCTCATACTTCGTATTGTGTCTTTTGCACTTACGGTTACTTGACTAGCTCACGATTATTCCCGCGACCAGATTCAAGGATGCTATAGCTCTCATGCTACTATATAAAACAAAAGATGTACCTAGGTACATATGTTTCATGATGTGGTTTTGTTTTATAAAGGAATACGATAGCTTTGGAATCCTGAAATCTGATAGCAGTAAGTCTCGAGCCAGGCATTTGTGACCAAACTGCAAAGGACTCAATACGCAGTATAAGAAAAGAGCGGAAACCATGCGAAACAAACATAAAAACAAAAACATTTTCAAAGGGTTATTTATTGGATACTTTACATTATATGTATGTTAATATTTAATATCATCTATATATCTAGATATACTATATGATTATGTATAACTCAAAAGTAGTAAACATTTATTATTGTAGCATTACCTTTTTGACATTTTGAACTATTGAGAGAAATACGTTTATTACTAAATTGTTAATGAACTTCGGAACTACAGAAAGGTTTATATTATATAATAATAAGATAAATAGATTAGAATTAGTAAATTAATATATTTTCTAAATTGGCTTCTGGACATTCACCTTTGTGCAATTTTAATTAAATTACAAAATAAAAATCTATGATAATGGTTAATTAGCTTTTTGTTGAAGCCGATAAACAATAGTAGATAAACTAGTTAAAAATAGAAAGGTAAAATGTTTGCATTGTCACCGCTTTATAATATATAAAAAAAACTGACTTGTGTGAAATTGTGACTGATATGATAAAACTGTACGTGTATATTGTTAAGGAACCCCCAATAAACAGGTGATAATACTTAGGATTATGGTATTATTAGTTAAAAATTAGGAGAAACATTTACAGACGGTAACGCTAATCGATTCCCCATCTTAGGGTTATAAAAAGTTTGCAGTCCCTAGAAACAGTAATTGTGTTTGGGTAAGGAGCAAGCAAATCTTCGAGGGGCAAATACGTATATTTTTCAGTTCGACTCACTTCAAATGCGTAGTAATGGTCGTCAAAGGTAATTGTCTCATAAAGAAAGCATGAGAAATATACTTTAGAGTTTTCAGTTAGCAGAATTTTGTCAATGATTGCAAAGACTGGTTGAAGGGCCTCCTCAGATATGTCAACAGTAATGATTCCACAGGGTTTCCATAAAACACCACACATTTTTACCCAGGAAACCGAATGCGTAAAGTTCACTTCTGGATTTGCTCTATAACTATGCTCATTTTCCAGGCGGACTTTCTTACCAAACTGCAACTTTGCAGGCAAGGATTTCTTTAGAAACAACTCATTGAGAATAAGTTGATTTTTCATTGCCAGAGTTTTGCAAACATTTCTCCTGTTACATGAAGCCCTTGCTTAGTGATGTTGATGGAAATTTTACACTTTGTAACTTACAAAAATGACGGTAAAATTACAGGGAAATTTCAGAAACCCTATAAATTACTGAAATCTTTGAAATTTATGAAATTTATTAAGTTTCATAAATTACATAAATTACGGTAACTTACGTGAAATTTCATCAAGGTTAACGAGTTTCATTTTACCCCTCCCATTGCTTTTATTGGAATTATGTTGCATTGTGCTTACGGCTTACCGCGTGTCGCCTTGTGTAATTGTGCTGACTTTAGTTTTGCGTACCTATGCCTATGCGTCTCTTGTGTGTTGTGTTGACGAATCAGTAAAATAATATACCTAATCTATTGGATTCAACGAACAAGGTATCTAAATTAAATTATTAATGTTGTCACTAAATTAAGATCACATAAATCTGGTAGAACGTAGAAGTACCTATTTAACAAGTAGGTAGACAGACTTAACCCGACGTTAACTATCTGTGAAATCATATGATTATATTTATTCTACTATGTCAATGCGGTAAATTTTTAAGAAAAATAAATTGCGTTTCTACCAGATATGTGTATGATATAATATATCACGTTTTTTATGATAAATAAATACAATGATGTATCAGAAACGTCAAATTTAACGTGCAGGTTATCTGTCAAAAAACGTTATTTTGCATTGTTTAGTATAGGCAAAATAACGTTTTCTACAAATAACCTGCACGTTAAATTTAACGTTTCTGAATTCTGATACATTACAGGGCTGAATCTCGAATATTTTTCCAGCATTATGGTTAAACCAAGGTCTTCAGTGTGGATGTATTTTGAAGAATGTATAGATAGTAATAAAAAAACAACATGTGTTCAATGCAAATTTTGCAAAGAAAAATATTCAAAAAATTCCACTAGGATGAAAATCCTATTGGAAATTGCATGAAAGCCCCCACCAGTATTCGCTCTAAAATGACAGCTTCATCGCGTACGTCTAGTCCTAGTACTAGTACTAGTACTACTAGTTGTAGTCGTCATGAGAGTAATGTTGAAAAAAATACAGTACGCACTTTATCTGCCGTTACACCCGTTAAAAAATCAAATTACATTTCTAACAAACAAAGATCCATGGTAGAAAGTTTTGTAGACGTAATGAAAGTAGAAGAACATCAACAACTGACAGCCTTATTTGCAAAGGCAGTGTTTACTAGTAATACACCACTATCAATTACAGAAAACAGAAACTGGAAACTATTCTTTAAAAGACTGAGACCCTCCTTTACGTTACCTGGGCGATATCTGTTATCACATCGTCTACTTGACGAAGAATTTGAGAGAGTACAAATTCATGTGGAGGAAACTTTGAACATTTCAGAAAATTTGGCCCTTCAGTGTGATGGGTGGTCAAATTTAAGAAACGAAAGTGTCATTAACGTTATCATCACAACCCCGCGCCCTTTATTTGTCAAGTCTGTTTTAAGTGGCACTGCAAGTCATACTGCTACCTATTTAGAAGGTATCATGTTAGAGATAATCGAGAAATATGGGTCACATAAATTTAGCGCAATAGTTGCCGACAATGCCGCTAATATGCGTAAAGCAGCACGTAACATACAAGAGAAATATCCCCATATTGTGTCATATGGTTGTATGGCACACACTCTTCATTTGATGTGCTCAGATATATTGCGAGTAGAATCTGTTGAGCAGATCATTGTGTCTGTTAAGAATATTGTTAAGACCATAATGTCCAGTCAGATATTGCGAGCAAAACTAGAAGAAATAAAAAAGGACATGAAACTTACAACTTCGTTAAGTATGCCTGTCAAAACAAGGTGGGGTTCACATGTTAAATCAATGGAAGATCTCGTTAAGTGCAAATTTGCCTTGCAAAGACTTAGTATAACAGAAGACACACAAAAAGTTGTTCATACTATAAAACCCGTTATCCTAAGTGAGGATTTTTGGGTCAGTGTGGAGGTGTAATAAACCTTTTAAAGCCCATAACACAAAGTATAACACTTCTGGAAGGTGATAGTCCTTCTATTCATTTAGTGTGCAAATCCTTCAATGCAATAAATTTAGAATTTGATTCTAATTTACAACTGCTAAAATTACAAGAAACGGAGAGGAATAACATATTACAAAAATTTTCAGAAAGGCAGCAGTATGCAATGCAACCTGTCCACATGGCTGCTGATCTGTTAAATCCTCACTCTGTTGGCTCATACTTGTCAAGTGAACAAAAAATGCGTGCTATGAAGTTTATTAATGGTTTGGCAAAAGACATGATGTTGCCAACTGCAATAGCAGAATTAGGTCACTACATGGGCAAACTCCATTTCTTTGCAGAGAATTTTTTGTGGGAAGTACTACCTACGGTTGATGCAATAACTTGGTGGAAAGGTTATTGTGGAGATCTCTCACTTTCAAAATTAGCTGTACGGATTCTCACAATGCCATGTACATCAGCTGCCACCGAAAGAAGCTTTAGCACTCAAAGTTTAATTCACACAAACAGAAGAAATAGGTTAACAAGCAAAAGAGCTATAAAACTAAATTATATTCAGCACAACAGTAAATTGTTTAGTTCTCAAGAACCTACGACGGTTCAGGATGACAGAAACTTCCAGCATCAGCAATCAAATATTAATAACCCTGAAGCACCACCTACTAGCAGTTCCAAAGAAAAGTACTCACGAAAATCATTCTCAACCAATCAAGTTTGTTCAGAGAGTTCTGATTCTGACTCTGTAAGTTACATAGGTACAGTACAGCACCTGTATGTCCTATTACAATTTATTTTCTGTATAGAATATTTCGTGGACGTCGGATATAGAAGGAAATGGAAACTCTGACGATGACTTTAGTTACAATGATACCCCGTCTGATGCAGAAGAGGAGCATATTGATGAAACTCCCCAAACCAAAGGACAGAAACGCAAACGCGATACTACTTGTCTACTTAGTGCAAGTCATATTGCTGGTTCCGACAGTAAAGATGATTCATTAGAAGTACTGGTAATATAAGTGAACAAGTACATTTTCCGATATATTATATTATTTTACTTTCAGAACTGCAGTATACATAATGCAGATGAGTCCGTATATGATCCTGATCCCCAAGAATCCCTACTCGAATCTGATCTTCAGTCAATAAGCTGTAAGTCGTTTTACAAAGAAACAATACCGATAACACGCAGAAAGTAGCGTAAAGTACAAGTACAAGTGATTCAACCATTTTAGTTAATTAAAGAAGACTGTGAATTTCTTTTTTATTAGTTTGATAAGTAGTTCATTTGTTTCGTGCTATAGCATAAGTTTATGTCTATTATACAATGTTACTTTGGGTTAGGAGTTTAAGTTTTTAGTTTTTCTTATGTTGATTTACAATATACCTACTTCTAAACGTATTACCCATGAGTCTTTTCCAGCAAAGTATCAAACATCCACACTACACAATAAAATATCTTCCAAAACTCGTATATTTCATAAATTTCATAAATTACAGACAAAACTGTAAGTTACGTCATAAATTACGTGGTAAGTTACAAAAAGATAAATTTCATGAAATTAAACATCACTACCCTTGCTGCCATTTTGGAAACCCTGTGCTTTGCTTCGAATCTCATTGTCCAGACATGACGCAATGGTCCAAATTTTAGGAGCATGTCAGGATAATGAGTTAGAAAATGGAATTTGGGCTTCAGTGTTTCACCAGAAACCTGGCGATACAATGCGTTGAAATCTCGAATCAAATATTTTAACTGTTCCACCGTATCACTATATACCCTGTGATTAAGCAGTCTCTCCAATATTTTTCTCAAAGCAAGATATAACTCCCAAGTTTCATCACCGACAGGAACATAATAACCGGCAATAAGGCCAAAGTACCTCATCAAGGTTAACATTTCAATTGCCGAGGTTTTAATCCTCACGGAGTTAGCAGCTTCCAAAATTATACAAGAAGTAGGCTTTGACCCTGAATCCGGACCGTAATCGAAAGAAACTAATTTGCTTATAAGGGTGTTATAATGAGGCATAGATCTCGAAATTAAATTATTTATAACAAAAGTCATAACATATCGAGCAGTTCCTTCAAGAATATCGTGCATAACATCAACCGCAGTATGTTCAAAGGGATCGAAACCATTTAGCTCAAGCCAACAACATGATTCCTTTATGCCAGTTTTGGATACATCCTTCATCTCAAGCTGCTGAAGGTATGAATTCATGTCCCTCATCAGTTCATTGTTTTGGATAGTCATACTTTGCATGCATTTTTTTGGAGCATTGCAAATCCTACAATAGTGATTAGCGACGAAGCTTTCAGTGAAACCAAGTATAGAGTTAAGTCCTAAATTATCGCCAGTTAAGCAGACTACCTTAAACTTTATGACCCCCGTGAAAAATTCTGTGGTAATGGTAATACCTGTAGTGTGCAAATAATTAAGTTCATCAATGGCTGGTTGGAACACTTTTTTGTTTTTAAATTGGGTCTTGTCGGAAGAATGACATAGAGATAACATAAAAGTGTGGTTTAGCTGAGAAACGATATGTGGAGGAAGTGCAGGTATAGAAACATATAGACCCCCTAATTTATGAATGCCCGCATGGCTCCCTAGTACATTGGATATTTCAAAATCGTCGTAGAAAATAACGAGCGGCAGAACAACAGTCAGTGGATCATTACTTAAAAAAGGTGATTTATATAGGTTCAGCCAAGCAGAGCCATGCATAACATTTTCCAGGCATTGGTTCGGCTCTTGGGTGTCGTATCTTCTTTCCTCGTTCTTCTCTCCACCCCATGTTGCCCCTCCACCTAACTCTTTTAGGTATTCGACAGTCTCTTTCAAAACAGTACCAATAGAAAAAAACTTAAGCAATACATTTCTCAAGGGAATCAACTCCATTGTGCATGTCCGAGGAGTTATAATTAACCTATTGTGTTTCATTAGTGTTTCTCTACGATAGCCCAGTACTACTTCCATTGGTGAAATGTAAGTTCCTAAAGATGCGAAGAGCTGAAACCTTTTATATTCTGACCGTAGGGGTTCCAAGCACTCATCAAGTAAAATTAAAGTCTCCTTCAAAGCTGACTGGACTTCATCAAAAGTGTTTCCTTCTTTCACCAAAGAAAGGAATTTGACTTGAAGATTTTCAGAAAGTTGTTGGTGAAATGATTGCATACCGTTCACAACAACCTGCACAGTGGAACGAGGAATGGCAGGGTTACTATACAATGACGCAAGGAACTGAGAAGTAATTGCAAGGAGTTGCTCCGACAGATCCACATTTCTCATGGAATGTTCATAAGCTACAATATTAAATCTGAGGGGCTCTAGAACTCCGTCATTGACATTATCGTAATTAACATTATCACCAGCAGAAGAAGGTCCTGGCTGTGGAGTTGATCTATGATTTGAATTTATTTCTACATTTATATCTGCAGTAACATTCTCATGCTTTGATTTCAAGTGACGACGGAAGGCATCCAAAGATGTGAACTGCCTGAAGCAGCCAGATTCACCACATTTGTATGCCAGCCATTTACGAAAATGAGTGAAACAATTTTTCCTTATGTGAAGGAGAAGGTCCTTCACCAAGGGGAATCGTTTCTTGCAAGAATGACAAGTTAACATCTTTCCTTCAAGCCGAGATCAACAAATAAAGTTTTCACTGCTGCAGTTGGTCTATCGTATGAAGTCGATATGCGATAAAAGCCTTTTTGAATAAAAAGCCAAACGTCATAAGCTAAAGGGGATATTCTGCAGCAGTGGCATGTATAATTTTAAATGTATTATCAACAGCTGAAATTAGGGAATCAAATTTGTACCGTACCCGTTCCACTATTACAAGGCACTCAACTAGTGATGAGAGTGACTCGCCTACTACGACAACCAGTGGTTGAAAAGTTAAATTCCAGGACTCTAGTTGACGTCGCTTATCTTCAAGCGTAGCGTCGAGGTCTGCGATGTTCGAGACGTGAAGAATGAAATTGGCCCTCACTTCGGCCCTGCTCACTTTTATCCCCTTCTTCTTGGTTGTTGTCCCCGTATTAAAGATGTACGGCAGGAGGAGAAGGCTGGTGTTTAGTTTACTCTCGATATTCACCTCTGAAACAATAGAAAATAAATAATAGTAATAGCAATATTTATTTTATATTTAAATTGAACTAATATTGCTAAACGTACCGTCAACACTTGATAGGCAGGTCTGAATGTTCTCTTTAAGGAATTCGTCCTTCGTAGTGGTACATTTCGTGGCGGCCTTCTGAAGAATCTTTGTGCTTACACTCTCCAGTGATTCACGGAGCAAGGCTTCGTCTTTGTCGGGAAAAATCCGTTGATAATCTAACGCTAAGAGTCGATATCCGCTGGGTCCCTTAAGTATGGGAAACTCTTCAATATAATCATGAAGATTCCCAGGATTATGATATAGATTCGCCAGCCGGGCCCTAGTTGTGCAACCCCAATGGCGTTCCACTTCCTCCCAAGGTGTTGCGCCTTCCACTGCGGTTTGGCAGAAAAGTATTGACTCTTCTACCCTTTCACTCTCGCCTAAAACAATCAGAAAAATATTCACATTATACGATTCGTTTGATGTGTAGGTATCTAGTGGGTATGGCACAGTGATGTGACGTTTTTGAACAGACTGCCAATACACTTATTTTCGACTTCATTTAAAAAATTTTTAATTTTATTTATTACTGGTATGAGGTACAATTTGACATTTGAGTATACACAAAAATAGTCAGCTGTTAAAAAAGCTATCAAGTGACGTCTCTGAATCTTTTGTTGAAACTATACAACGAGAAATTCACAGAGTTTCACCTGCCATGCTTCACTATGGACGATTTCACTACCTTCCATAAAAATCGATTATTTTCACATACTCACATAGAAGTGTACCAGTAATGAATAAATCTAATAAATTTTGAAGTAAAGTCGAAAATAAATATATAAATAAATAAATATCTCAAAAACATCTCTCTCACTCTGCCTAACCCTGTATATATGTATCAAGATTCTTACCCGCACCAAGGGTGGATAAATCAATGGGAGCTTCCTTCCTATTCTCTGTTCCCGAGTTCTCTGAGGTTGTGGAGCTAGAGGTGCCTTTCCGCTTCCGAAAGGGTTCTACTGCCTGCTTGCTAATAAGGTTACGTCTCTGTCTCAAGTAATAATTATACAGACTGCCGGATGGGTTTCTCTTGGGCTTTCCTTGTTGGGCAGAAATGTATGCTGTATAGTACAGCACTGGTGATTCACAGTTAAAAAGCTGTGCAATGCCTCTGGCGAGGGTTTGGAACCGTGCGAATGTAATATGAACTTGGGGATTGCGCTCAAATTTGTGATTAATTAATAATTTTACAATCTCCTTTCTTTGTCGTTGATGGAGAAGGCCAGTTTTGGCAGCCTCGCTGCTTAATATAATACGGCCCTGCAGACTGCTTAGCAGAACATTCCTTACCTGAATGAAGAAATAAAATAAGTGTATTGCAGGTAACGAGGCCATACAGCAAAAAGACAACAATTAATTAAATCAGCGTTACAACAAAATTGAAATAAAATAGTAAAACCATAATCCCATAATCTGCTTCTGACTTATCTAAGTATACTTGACTAATTGCAATACATACGAAATAAAACTTACATGTGCCGCATCATCTTGTTCCAAGATAGGTGTTGGGGGTGTGGGATGTGTTGGTGGAATCTCGTGTTGAGGCGACAGCAAATTCTGTTCCTCAAGTGAACCTGCTGCAGCTTGTTGGAGTGGAGATTCCACAAAGTTATCTCGAATAAAGCTCGAAATATTTGTGAGGAAGGATTGGGGGCTGCCTGGATCCGTACCTGATCCCTCAATACTAATCTTCTCAGTGGAGAGCTACAAACAAAACGACATGCATTAACTTATTCTAATCTACAGATCATGCACCTTGATCAAAAATTACACATTCGTAGGAAATTAGTTTGTGTGATAGCGTCGAGTGAGCATTTCTCACACAACGGTGAAAGACATGATACATGTATTGAAATTATTTTAGTTAAATGTAGTTTTCCAATAATAGTATTAATTTTCTAAGGAGCCATCTTACACCCCCTGGTAAACTTACCTCTATGGAAGTTCCCAGAGATTTAAATTTACCAGTAGGTGGGTAGGTACCACGGTCAGTTACCACGGTGATATTCAGCGTGGTAGGTACTTATATACTCGTAAGCACACGACTTACTAGAAAATATGCACAAAATAAATATCTGTCAGATATCAAGTTATGCGATAGTTTCAGTAATATCATTTATCTGCACATATCATCTAGTACCCATAATATAAGTTGATATATTTGTAAAATATAAAATTGGCAATCTTTAGCTCCCTAGGATCGACTGATTAAAAAAAATTGGCTTACTAACCCTGTTTATGTTTGAACACTCATTGTCGGCTTTTCACAACGTTAATTGAGCTAACAGTTTAACTCTGTCCCCTAGTACTGGCACTAGATTTGCGACATCACCTTCTGTCAGTAAGGTCAGTGCTGTGGTATCAATTCGGTTTTCTTAAAAAGCAAATGAGAATAAATCGTTAAATGTGTATTTTTTTAGCTTTAACCAAACTAATTCGGACGATACAGGGTGTTTGGCGCCACCGAAGTATTAAACGTTTTAAGACTATAATAAGGCAATCATCCTAAAAAAATGCACACGTCTGTAAGAGATAACGATCTATTTAACTACAATGTCTTGTAGAACATGCCACTTCCTGTTTACCGGAAGTCGGTCCCAGTTTTGTTATGTTGAATTGAATGCTATTTGAATTTTGATTCTTCAGAAGATTCCTCGTGCAATGGTATTACATGTCCCTATGTCTATTTTATGTTTTTTAGTTATTCCATATTTTCTATAAAAATTGACCTGAACTCACTAGTATGGAAATACTCGTATTTCCGTTATGCTACCAACTCAAACGAAAACTATTTCAGGAATTAAAGTGGCAGATTGGAACTATCATTGTTTTTTTCATACTAGTAAGTTCGTCAATTTTTAAAGAAAACATAGAATATCTCAACAGTTGAAAATAAGCATAGGGATATGTAATACCATTAGATGAAGAATATACTCTTATAGAATGAAAAAGTCAAATAAAAAATATACCCTTCCATTTAGAACAACAAAGTTGACATCGACTTCCTGTATAACCGTCTAATAGGTCAATTGCGGAAAATACCCTGTATACAATCATTGTTCTTACACTTGTTTTAACATTAATTAATAATAACAATAAGATAGACTTTATTAGACTATTATTGTCATATTATGTAGGCCCAAAATGTTAAAGAAATGAAATAATGCACATGAACTGCACAAAATAAATTAAAGAAACAAAAATACCAGCTTTATATTTAGTATACCTTTATATTTAAAATAATAAGAAGGCATACAAATACAATGTGTCCCGTCGATGCACTAAAGAAAGTCTTTATTTTAACTAAGTAATTATAATTTCCAAAAATTATTTACGTAACTGCAGTACCCTCAATTAACCCATTTAATACCGTTGGTGCATTTTCGAACCACGCCCTTTAATTTGTTTATATTAACAATTTTAGCTCTTCTGTTTCTGTTATATCAGTATGTATTATAGTATTCAACAAAATATTTCTAACAAATTTTATTGCTCTTTTGTGATTAGTAGTAATTTACAACATAAAACGTATCATTTTGTCAGTAAAAAAAAATGTAGCCAAACATTTGTTTTCCAATTTTAATTTTAATTGTTATCAAGATCTTTATATGTTACGAGCAATGTGGTTGACCGGTCAATGTTAATAATTAAATATTTTCACATACTTTCATAAGTGGCAATAGTTCCTCCCCCTTAAGCTTCCGGGGCCGTTAAAAAAATTTGCCTTCTCTTAATAATTGACCGGACTAACCCGATTGCCAGTAACATAAATAGGGGATGAAGTGAGTGTCGAGGAAATGTCAGAAGACCATTTATAACCACAACCAAAAACAAAAATTCAATTTTTTTAATTTCATTAGCTTGAGATTAATAGGGTTAATATCTGCAGTACCTAGGTTAAATATCTTTACTACGGGATACATTGTACTATTTGGTAGTCTAGAAAAAGGAATTGCATCATTCAAGTTTTACGTAGGTTAACCATAGGCGCCCACAGGAGGAAGAACATCATTGGATTAATGCTATTATAGGAGACCAAAGCAATCATTGCAGATTTAAAAATAAACTGAATCTTGCAGGCGCCCATGGGTACTGGTGCCATGCAAATATTTATTAACTAATTACAATTCAAATGAAACTTACCTGCAAACACATCAATATATTGGAAGAACCCCCAATTTGTAAGGAGGTTTGTCACAAGTTGATCCATACACACAGTTGTTTTTTACCCTCTTTTAACACTCACTTGACCGACTGAATACAGAGTAAAGACGACTATGCTATGATATTGGCGCAATTTTGAAACGCGAAGGTACAGTGGAGCGTTTTTGAACGCACAAACGCGAAAAATGACACTTCATCAGATGAAAAGATGTATTATAATCGTATGACCTTTCAATATACGATTGTAACACGGTTATTTTCCTTCTGCTGAAAACTAAAAATGTTTAAATGATCTTATATTTGTTGGCGTACTGAAGGCGAAATTGGACGTAAGATACTTTCGCATCTCTATTCCGCAGTACCATAATGGTGAAATACCTTTAATCGACTGCAGGAAACAACACTGTAAGACACACTCAGATAACCAAGAAAGCGAATTTCGCATTACCAGAAATGATCCACCTGAGTCATGGTTGTACTATCTTAGGAATAATACAAATTACGCTTTACGAGAAACAGAGATAATACAGTGGTTGTTACTGACGGCGAAATTTGATGTAACAGTAATAGTAATTTATGATTTATCAGTATAACAATTTATACATTATTTTCGGTCTTGAATCAAATTACGAGAATGATGAATGCACTTTCGTGCACTGAAGAAAAAACCATAGTACAATGCAGTGCAACCCACACAAAATGCGAATAACGCGTTACTATGGGTGAAGTACCCACTATTAAACAATGCTTGCATTGAGCAATTACTACCTTACATATACTACAAATTTAGTCTTAAGGAAGACGACGGGTGTGACGTCACAAATGTGCAAAGCTAATAACGCGGTATATCAGATGAAGTTGGACCACTTGCGTTGAAAATGGTTACGTCTAACCCTGTGTTGTTTATAGACGTAATTTTTGGATAAAAAATGTCTTTCTTTTATACGTAATATGTATTTCATATCAATTTTCGCATTATGAACGTGAATTTGTTCGAAGGTACTGCGAATATCGATACTGACGACGAATTTTACCTTTCGCCAAAAAAGCATTTTTATCAGTGTGGGGTTTGCCCCAGTATGTCGACGTATTCAAACGTAAGTACGAGTATTTCATTATCATAAAACGTTGACTAAGAAAGGTTGTTGGGTTTATTTCCATGTTACCCGTTACCATTGAATAAAATGTACCTACGCAATGCTGTTACCTAATGTTTATAAAACATCTTTATCACGTAGATTTTTTACGCGTCTTCCTCTGCAATCCCAGGGAGAAACTGAAAGGTAGAAAACGACAACATCTCGTCGAAATATAGGTGGTACTTAGGTAATTAATGTAAAGATGTTTTATTTACTACTGGCGACATAGGAATTACACCCCAAACATAACAAATTGATATTTTGCATCTAGAACAGAAAACATTGGATTTAATCATATTATATTTCAGAACAAAACGTAAAAAAGGACACTTTACCGTTCCTAACACCAGAAATGGTAAAAGAACTAATACCTTCAATAGGCGACAGAGCCCAATTTCAGGGGCATTTGGATCACTGGAAGATGATAATTAACGAAATTCCACAATCGTCTCCATTACCAGTAAGTACAATCCGAGGTGCAATCCGTAGTGTGTGTAAATTTCTTAGGGTAAATTTAAATCGATTATAAACAGAGATGCATTGCCGGTGGATTTAAATTGGCTCTAACAATTTACAAAGAAATTAAAATATGTACATAATAGCATTGAATAAATTATTCAATGATAATAGTGAACGTTGGGCTGTTGGAAATTTATTAGTGAAGTGGAAGGGGTTCGAATCTATGTAAATTACCTTATTCGTAGTTATCCATTTGGTTCCATTTGATTTCAAAATTTATTTATTTTGAATCTGATCGATCCTGAATCAGTCCGAAGGCGTTTCTTAAAACCTACTATAAAGTCTTATAAAAGCGGAAAAATTTCGTCCACGAATGTCTGATAGCATATACAAAATTGAAAAATTTCGTCCCAACGGAACGCGTCGTTTATATCACGAAATTTGTGTATTTGCCTAATTTCCCTCAGTATTTCCGTTGATCCTGTCGATACCGTTTTTCCAATGAAAATAAGATATTTTTAAAAATGAAGTCAAAAATGTTTAGAGAGGCACATCCTGTTTGGCTGAGGAAAATTTTCTTGATTTCTGTGTATTTTTACTGACTGGAGACTGGACGATAAAACGCCTGCATTATTCGCCGTAATCTCCTCGTTTATTAAAGAAGACATCACTGGTGGCTAGGTTCGTTTATTTGATGATTCACATCAACAATAATCATCAACCAAAAAA